GGTATTACTGCTGCGTGTTGTGCAGCAGGACAGTTGGAATCCTTCGGCACTGATATCTTAATCTGCGTCTTTGGCGAGTGCGCCTCCTGATGAAGTGGTCACTGGAAAAGGAGAGCGCAGAGGATGTGGGGGTCGCAGGGAATCCAGGTGACCCGTGACGTTTTTCGACCGGGCAGGTAAATCAGAGACATGCCCGAACACGGCGGGTCCTTTACGCACCCTCTTCTTTCTTTTTTTTCTAAACCCAGAAACCTTAGGCCCCCTCCACCACCACCACCACCACCACCACCCCCCCACGCCCCTTCTCTCCTCAATGGAGGAGGGTGTTTGCAGGAGACGGGTATTAAAAGCTGTGCCCCAGTAAAAGCTGCCATCATCATTACGCTAAGGGGTTGAACTGTGGCGGCGTAATGTGTGTACCGAGTTACTCCGTCTGTTTGAAGGGCCCTCAGCAGGAGTGTGTCTGCTGTTGACACTCCCCATTTAATATTGTTTGAATTTTTCATCAAGATCCCGAGCAGTGTTACAAGAGCCCTTTGTTTTCCGACTTGTTTGTACATTCTTTTTGTCTCTCTGAGTGTATGTGTGTTTGCAGAGACATTATAGACGTTTATTTAGTTTGAAATGTAACAAGTGTGGCTTTGCATGACTCCGTGTTCGTGCCCACGTCAATTATAAGGACAGATTTACCACACAATTGAAAAAGTAAAAATCCTGGAGGTCTGTGGGGGTCTTGCGGGGGATCCTTGGTTCCGGACTGCACATCCAGCTTCAGACATCCCTGTCCTCGTCTCCTCCAGCGTCTTTTGTGCAGGGGACCCTGACGCAGCCTTGAATGCAGGTCACTGCAGGTTACCGACAAAGGGAAAAGGGGGGTTGTGTGTGTGTGTGTGTGTGTGTGTGTGTGTGTGTGTGTGTGTGTCTGCCCTGAAAGAAGTGCACACGATTAAAAATAGCCTGCCCTCCTGTCAATGCTTCGCCATTAAAAACAGCTGGGCAGGGGCTCCCGTCTGCATTCAGCCACGTGAAAGTTGATTTTCTCTTTGTGCCGCTATCTTGTCACAACTCCCCCTTTACTGCCGCCCTTTGTTGGCTGCTTTGTGCGAGCGCCATGGCGGAGGCAAAGTCGGCCTCATAAAAAGAGTTCATTTTGGATTCACTGGCCTCCGATGAACACTGGGAACTTTCTTTTTTGTGCCTGCATCCATAAATTGGCGCTCACTCACCGGGTCCTGTCAGTCCGTCTCTAAAGCTCCTTTATGAAGCATTTCCTACTTCTCCCCTTGGACACGTTTTGTCAATCCACCCATGTAGGTAATCGGCCTAATCACAGTCGGATGGTTTTGAGGCTGCCGGGATACCAACAACTCCGCTCACAATGCCGCACGGATGCAACCACTGATTCAGGTCATGCAAGAGAAGTGGAGAAAACAAACTGCATGCCTTTTTTTTTTATTTGCGCAGACAGCAAAACGTTTCAATTAATCAACCGTAATATCACCACGGTGTCAGGTGATCTTACGGTTCCATGACAGTGTTTTCATTTTTCTGTCACTTATGACACATTGGAGCTTTCATTGGATTTAGGATGAGTCCTCTGAGTCTACAGGTAAAAGTAAACACACAGGATCCCACCCATGGAGCAGCTGTCGGAGCCTTCAATGAATCAGTGTGTACCTGGGCAACCAGGCGCTGCGAGGGTTAATGGAAGAGGAGCAGGAGGAGGAGGACGCTGTGGTCTGTGCGGCACGGCCTCCTCTTGTTACATGTGGTGCTCTCAGGAAGCGCTCCTTTGCCGGGCTCGTCATTTTCCACCACCCTGCTCTCCCCTGGGCCCTCGCTTCACTCCATCCGAGCAAGGCCGTCGCTGTTGCCAAGAGGACACAGAGAAGCAAGCAGCAACATGCACCATCACACCAGCACACGCTCAAGAAGACCGACACAGGAGGAGACCAAGACGCAGAGGGGACGCACACACACACACACACACACTGTCAGAAAGTTTCTAAAGGGCTTTCTTATCTTATCAGTATTGTCATCGGTCTTTCATCCGGAGACAATCCCCTTGTCTGATTGCCCAGTGACTCCAAAACAATTTATACTCACAAGGACAATTTAGAGAAGTTCTTTTGCATAAGCCAAAGCGAAAGATGACGTTCAAATCAAAGATGACGACACAGAAACACGTTACGATAGAATTCCCAGAGCACGAAGCGGTTCTTTTATATGCAGGTGTTGATCTTAGATGTATTATATTTAGTGTTTACTTTGTCTTTATTTTTATTGTTTTGTTGTCTGAAGTGTTGCCATCTTGGTTTTTTTGCTTTGTGTGCCGAAGGCCAGTTCAGTCTGGGCACCAAATCCAAATAAACTGATCAATAAATCAATCAAACTGTTTTGGTTTCATTGTAATATGAAAAAGGGCCCATTTGTAAATAATGCAGTCTGTGTATTACCATTATCCATCTCCTTTTTTTAAATGTTATAATAAAATTTTAATAATTTCTATACTAACTCCTCACTGTAATATCGATCCCTCCAGTCTTATGACATTATGTGTTTATTAATTATACTTGGTATGATTCATTTGATGATAAATATCAAAATCCAAAAAATGTTGCATGAATGTCTCTATGGCCCAATAAACTTTTATTTGTTATTTAATTTTATTATTAGACATTATAATGCGTTATGGGTCGTTAAAGCAGTTGCAGAGGTGGATCTCGATAATGTGCTGACAACGTGCGTGTGACAGACAGTGTTACTCCTCCTCTCGTCCTGCTCCTTTTCTCCCACACGTTGCTTTTGTTCTGTCTCTCTGTCTGCTTTGGCCTCTGCTGCTGCTGATGGAAGGGATTGTCTGGTTTTATTAATATGACAGGTGAGCCGGCCCAGCTGGTACCTGTGTGTGTGTGTGTGTGTGTGTGTGTGTGTGTGTGTGTGTGTGTGTGTGTGTGTGTGTGTGTGTGTGTGTGTGTGTGTGTGTGTGTGTGTGCGTGTGCACGTGTGTGCGTGCCAAAAAGACGCAGCTGTCCCATACACGCAATGCACACATGGTCTCGCATGAACCCATTCACACAGGCATTATTGTGGCATACGGACTTGTATTTTATCATAAAATATAAATCCGCTTACAAGATGCTGTGATCTGAGGTGCGTCCTTCTTGTCGAGCTGGTGAGGGGCAGCAACAGCACACAGATGCTCTCCACACTGGAACCATATTTGCGTGTTATTGCCCTCACATATTACCACTTTGTTTACTTCCTGGACTGCAAATTGCCAGCGTAATTTCCACCGCCCCTGTGAGATGGCCATAATATCTCTGTTCTTGTATATACACTTTATGATTTGACTCGTGCGTTGGGGTTCAATACAACCATATTGACTCAAGTAATTGAACACGAGGGACGCGGGCCGTATTCATAAAGGAGGCCGAGAGACAATGCAGTGAATGGAGGGTTATTGGAACAGCGGCGGGAAGCTTGCAGCAGTTTGAGCTGTGAGAGCGGCATCAGGCTGCACGTCTGTCATTGACTGCAGCTCAGGCGTGAAGATGGCAGCGCAGAGGTCTTCCACCTGAGCCGATTGTGTTCCAAGGCGCTCCATTACCTGAGTGGACCTCCTTTGTCTTATAGCTCCATGTGGAAAATGAACGCACACTAGGCCGCCAGGCGTCAAAAAGAAGCGTGTGTATGTGTGAGTGTGTGTTTTTTTTGTCGGGTGGGGGTGAAGGTTGAGAACGTTCTTGAGGGCTACTGAACGTATACGCGTATTTAAAAGGCAAGTAACACTTGCTATGTGGTTTCTCCCATCTGATCACGTCCTAGGAGGACAATGTGGTTTAGTGAGCCTTTAGTCTCTCACCTTGGGGTTTATTTTGAAGAGAAGTTAAGTCTTTAACGGACCGCTGTCTCAAAATAGGAGACAGGTATATTTTATTAGCACTCTCTCAGGGAGTCAACAGACCGGCTGGCTGATGGGGCGGAGATAGTGGCGGCCTACTTAGTCAGCCGAGTCTGGGGACAGAGTCGTCCCTGCACTGACCCATGACCCACATAGCTTGCTGCCATTACGTTTTTATCACTCTTCATAAAACAAGAAGGGCAACTTTTGAAGAACCTCTCGCTTGAATCGGAGATCTTGAATCTTTTAATGACCCGACTCAATGTGATGCCACTCTGTAGGTTGTCCCGTTGATTGAAATCCTTGCTGGTATGTCACACCGTTGTAGAATAATCGGGATATATTAAGAAATTGCTGTTGGCTAAGTTGGATGTGGCAAAGCATTGAACACGCGCCGGTCTCAGTCCGTTTTTTTTTTCCATCAAACAAAGGAAGCAGGTAGAAGTAGCACAAAGGTCGTAAACTGCATTCTCCATCGAGCGGAATATTACTTTTTCTAGGTGCGGGCCTGTCAAAAGGCAGGTTTAATGCAGTGCGGTGCTGCTTAAAGCACACTTTGCTCTTTTCAAATTGTACCATTGTGCCCGGCGAGATCAAAAGGGCCCTTTCAACCTGTCGCTGTGTTCAATGAGCTTTCATGTCTTACCTCATTACTGGAAAAGTTTTTCTTCGACTGAGCCGAGTTGTGAGCGGGAGTTTGGTCGCACAATGGGGCTGGACGACTTTCACCGGGACACAATGAGGAGGCAACAAAGATGTCGTCTCAAATCCCTCTCGAGATGTTGGGCCCCCACGCTTCGCTGCGGCCAACCCGGCCTGAGAATTACAGTAAGACCCCCCTAAAAGTGAGGATTTGTAACTCCTCTGATCAGACTCAGCTCACGACCAGCGGAGGCTAAATCCCTGCAGAGAACCGGCGGCGGAGCGAGGGATGAGATGAGCTTCTCCCAATACACCTCTCCCCATTTAAACCCTGTCTGATTGTCCCTGGAAGAAAGGTTTAACCTGACTCTACTTCATGCCCATTTTAACAAAATTGACTGTTCATTAAAAACAAACTTTCGGGAGAATGACATTTAAAAATAACACATAACACTTTGGCTTTTAAAACAAATGTTTTATTCATGCAATTTCTGAAGTTTATTTTTTTATTTTTTTTAAGAAAGTTCTCACATTTGGTGCCATGGCACCAATATTTTTTCCAATCATTTTATGGCAATAGAGCAAACAAAGCACTGAGTGAATCCTTGAGCACACACCACTCTCTGACTCTTAGAATTGGGCCGCAAAAGTCCAAAAACGGGAGTTGCATTTCACCAATCAGAAGCGGGTCTCCGAAGGAACAACTTTTGACCTTTCTCTTCCTCCGTCTTCCTCCGTCTTCCCATCTCTTCATTTCACGCACGCAATTTCTTTTGTCCTTCAATTCCTCTATAAACATCTGCTGAGTGTTTGTAATCAGTAGGCCTCTTTTTTTGCATCTATTTGTCTCACTTTTACAACTCAAATACCTTCTCTGTTCATTTGGTTTTGAAGCATTTTTCATCATCTTTCAAGGGATAATGGCGGCTTTATAGGAATAGGTAATTGCAAAATGTCAAACCAAAATGCCAACAAGAGATAATATCAATATTTGAGTGATTAGGGAAAAAAGAGCTGGAAAATGAAATAAAAGGCACCTATTGTATTGTGTAAGTTTTACATCCTCATCATTTCTTCTAGTCTTTGGAGCCAGGACAAATAAGAGCCAAGCTTTTGTTCCTGTTATCGCACACTGTTCATTTGTCCCCCGGCCCGGAAAGCCATGTCAAGATAACGCCATCCTATCATCTGATTGTCTTATCAAAGTTGAGCGACACAGCAACCCCAGTCCTGGAAGGCCTGGAGGAAAAGGTTAAGAGCTCCACACCTCTTGTTAATGTGTGCTGTCGAAATACACAGACGGCAAAAATAAGCCACTGTTGTGTTTATTACACATCATTTATTTAAGATTTATTCGTCACCCTGAGGGGTTTCAACACAGCAGGCTCGCGTGGGCCGATGCTCGGGCCCCCTGTTTAATTTCTCACGGCCTCCTCTCTGCGATTCGAGTGCGAGAGTGTGCAGCCCTCACGCAGCGTTTGACACCGGGGTCAGTGGAATTGCCCCACTTGAACTAAAAGACGTTTGGCTCGGTTTGGAAAGTGAAAACTAGAACACCATTAATTTGTTTGCTCTCCCACTAGTCGTGACCACAGCAAATGCCATCACCTCAAAGAAGCGGTCGGCCGTCCTCACTTTTATTTGTTTGTTTCTTTGGAGGGTGTGTGAGAAGTTGTGAAGCGGCCGGACATTAGCCTCACGGGGGGCGGGGGGGGCCTCCAGAAGGAAGGCTATGGAGAGCTAGCAAACAAGTTAGCTAGCGACGGAGAGGGTGGGGGTGGTGGTGGTGGTGGTGGCGGCGCTGGGAGGGGTGGGGATTCATTTAGCCAGGCATAGCTGCTCTTGTTTGTGGTTGTCCCTGACAGCGTCGGCAACGCTGCTCCAAAGCACCTGTGTTTGCTCACTAGCTTTCCCCCAATCTGCTCGAAAAATGCTGTGAGCATGTCACATGGTGGCCAGATAGCCTGGGCACCATGGGAATACAAAAGCCGGGGCTTTTAGAACAGTTAATCATTAATGGAGGCCTCGCTTTTGTTCCCATTCAGCTCGGCGCTGACAGAGGCTTTGATATTACATATGGCAGGCAGGTCGGACGTAGATATAGCCAAGTACATCGACGGGGAAGTGCTTTCAGGTCGCTGGATGCAGGGCGGCGAGAGCAGACGGAGTGCAGCCATGGAAAAGTGTCCTTGAAACGGAAGCCACGTGCGTCTGTAGAGAGAGAACACACGCGTCAAGCTCACATAACCATATGTGTAGACGTAATAATTGGAATATTGCTGTAAATTGCTGTTGAGGTCAGTTGTTCAGAAGCATCACTACGTGTCTCGATAAGTACGCGTAATTACACTGCAGGTTGTCTTATGCTACCAAACACAAAAACTAATTTGTGATTATTGTCTGTGATTGGCAGGACGGGTATAAACGGAGTCCTTCATGGGATCGGAGGCCAACTTACCAACCCAACAATTAATTAACATGCCCTAATCTCAGTTTGCTCTCCATCTTGTCAACTGTCAAAGAAAAGTCCGGGACTCGTTTCATTCCCTGTCAAAGTGGGCTTTAGGACAGGAAAAAAACAAGCAATGCATGAACTTGCTTTCACAAAGCAGGGCCGATTTATCTTGAGGGGAGATTAAGTTTACACAGCCACATTCTTATAAAGCACTAAAAGGGTCGGAGGCAAACTCTTATCTCACATTTACCTCAGCATGCCAATGGTTCTTTATTGAAACTTAGTCTTGGCCCCACCCTAACCCCCACCAGTGCTAATAATACTGTATGGGAGTTGGAGAGGATAGTGGGATCACAAACATTTACGGCTGGAAATGCAGCACAAGAGGAGGCAAAGTGGCCACTCGACGCAGGATGCTCGGTGCGCCGAGGGTCAATCATTAACGGAGCGCTTTCAGCAGTATCTGCTCTCCGGCTCGGAGCAGAAGTCAAAAGATAAATGAAGGTTGTGTTTCAGGGAATGAAGGAAGGCCTCCAACTTAGGCGCTTTAGCAAACATACCAGCCCACACGGAGGTTTCTCTTGAGAAGTTTTGCTGCGTCCTGGTTCTCATGTCAGAATCTCACAGGCCAACAATAGGTAAATGACTCAGGTATTTGTTTGTGGCAATTTCAATGGGGCATTCCCAGAAATCTATAGAAACCTCTTTGCCTCACAAACATTCCAACATCAAATACACCGGTTTCTCATTTTTGTTTTATGCTCTCTCTTTCCTTTATTGATGACCACTTTGGTGAAATGGTTTTCTAAATAAGATTACAACATACAAAAATGACTTGAACCCAAACTTCATTAGCTCCCAACGTTCTGTAGGAATAAACACTTTTAGTGTAGCATGATTGAAAGACTAACAGAAAATGAGAACATTTGATATTATCTGCCATGGGTGAGAGCTATAAATATTTCCTTTCTTACATTCAGCTTGAGTTAACCACAGTGTGTTTATTTGCTAACCCTGGTCACCGATGATAAGGACCATTGGTGTCCCCAATCTCTCTTAGCGACAACACGCCCATGTTTCTGCGATCACGTTCGCACTATACAAAATAGGAAAAGAACAAAACATAGGTGCTAATAAATCCTATTTTACTCAGCCATAAGGAAATAAATTAGGTTGAGGGTGCATGCTTCGAACAAAAGTTCCTGTTTCGGGAGGGAAGGTGCATGGGTGATGGATCGCTCGGCAAACATAGTTGACATACCTGGCCAATGCCATGGGCCGGTCACAACCCAGGCCTGAGAGGGACATTGTGTGAGTGTGTGTGTGTGTGTGTGTGTGTGTGTGTGTGTGTGTGTGTGTGTGTGTGTGTGTGTGTGTGTGTGTGTGTGTGTGTGTGTGTGTGTGTGTGTGTGCAGCTATCCCTCTTCCCTCTGAGGTTTCCTCTCCCTCCTCTCTTCCACTCAGGCCATGGGGATCACTTCAGTCAGCAGAGCCCTGTTTGACAGAGACAGAGCCTCCATATAAATCCCATCCCATCCTATTTATTTGATGTGCAGTTCTACTAGGACGCCTTCGATCCGTCCTCGGGGAGCCCGCATCTCAAAACACTCAAATAGTCTGGGTGTGGCGATAAGCACAGGGCAGGAATTATACTCCCAAATTCCCAAATCCTCATAGAGCATTGTTCCATCCGTTTCAAGACACGCTGGAAGAAAAAGGGACAGATACGGACTGGGGAATTATGGCAGTTCCTATTTCATATCCTTTACTTCGTCTTGCATGCATGTTTTTTATATGTAAAAGATAAATGGAAAGAAAAGTTAATATTAGAAGGGTTGAAAATTGCATCCATGTTGCCGTATGAGTGCAGTCTGGAGCGAGCGAGACGGGTCAGTGCAGTCTGGTGGATGAGCGGTGGACCTTTATGGGGAACACCCAGGAATGTTTAGTTAACTCGTCCGCCGCATTCAAGCATGTGTGTCAAAGGTGTTTACAGGGTGTTGACATTCACACATTGGCAAAGAGGTAATGTGAATGCCGCAGCAATGTCTGGCTGTGCTGGGCCCTGAAAGCGTTCAACAAAACTAATACGAGGGGTTTGTTGCAGCAACAACGTTGGCATTTAAATTGAGAAGTTAAAAACACTTCCGCAAATTACTTCTCTAATTCATTTTTATTTAATCCAATAGTCATGCAGAAAAAAACATGTTTTTAGTTTGTACTATTAAAGCACAATTTTTACCTAAAAATAATTAGCAGTAAATGTACCAGAATGATTTGAGTAATTTTAAATCATGAATTATAAAGAGCACATTTTATATTGCATATTTTAGTACTTTAGTTTTAGTTCTTTTGGTTCCATTATGTGAATATATGTTCTAATCATTATCATTTCAAATGTATGTTTCTGCATATTTGGATGAATCAATTTTTCAAAAATGTTATGCTATGATTATTTTTTAACTGTTTTTTTGCATATTTAATATAGCCTAAGATGATTTGAATTGTTCAATCTTCGTGAATTCCATAGTAATTGATAATATAGTCAGTCAATAATATCCACCAAGCAAAATTGACAACATTTGGTGTTTAAAGTACACTCATTACTCGTTAGCTAATAATTAACAGATACAATTAAATATATTGGTCTAAATTTGTACCATAAATCATTTTATTATTAATTACAGTTTATCTTTTTCCCGGTTATTTGAGAGCCATCAAATATTTTTGTTTTTGTGTTTAAAAGGCAAACAAAATATAACAACTCTGATCGTAAATTTCATGATGTGGAATAATGCTTGGAACCACTGATAAACCGAACCTGATAACGTGCAGTTTAATTTCCTTCTATGTAATGGCTATGCAGTAAAATACAATCATCAAGCCATATATCCAGCCCACATACGTAAATATACAAACGTTCAACAGTTTCAAAAAGTGTCACCATAAATTACATTTTCACTTTTTAATTTAAATCGCAGTGTTTTGATGTCTATGCTCAGTATCGGATTTCTGTTCATAAATCTAAATAAATGTTTTTCACATATAAATTAAGACAATAAAGACTTTATTGTCTAAATAGAGAAATGTCATTGTTGATTATATTCACAAATAAATATTGAAATAATGGTTCTTTTCCACACACAGAAAAAATAAGTTCTCATAATTAAGTTAATTTTTGAGGGGAATACCACACAATATATTTATGTCAAAGTATCCCAACCTTTCTGTGAAAAAAAAAATAGGTGCATGGCAAAATCCCAAATTTGGACTATATCTTTCACTCTATTTTTCATATACAAATGCCAAAAATGTAATCCCAGTCACTCTCGGAGGAAGCTATCTTTTCTTCTGCAGAAGGTTGCCAAAGAGGTAACCAGTGCCAGCGGGCACGAGTCTGTCTGTCTGTCCACACGACCACCCACTGAGTGCTACGGGGCATGAAGAGAACAGCTTTACACCGACCTACAGGTGACAAAACATCTAACCTTAAAGTACCAATATGTCCAATCATGTCAAATATAGAAACTGAACGCCGCAGCTATTACCCGGGCCGCCATTGTTTAAGGTAATTGGAGGGGGTGTTGTAAGTTTCCTACGCTATGACTCACACAGCTTCTTTTCTCCACCCATGAATGCTGGGAGATTGTAGGTCACAGTGAACTTAAAAAACGAAGTCCTCTCAACTCATAAATTACATGGCCACCGACAACCTTAAGCGGTGTTGAAATGCCTCGCATAGAGCTTTGTCTCAGCGTTGGTGGAGCGTGAAGCTGAGAGCACCACCCCACAAGGAGCTTGGCTCTCACCGGGGCCCAAGTAAGACGGCGATTTATCTTCACCCATACCTGAGGTCTGACATGGCGGGCAAAACGCTGCTGGTGCACCAAAGGGGGGATGTGAAAACAAGCACTTACTGTTTCTTAATGATGTTGCTCTTTGAGGTATCGTTTCCGTAACGGGTCATACCTCGTTTTTTTTTTTTGTGATTTGTGGCCCTTGTGAATAAAGTCTGGTCTTAAATGTAAGATTGCTCTGCCCCAAAACAAAAGGGTTCTCCTTCCTGGGACCTGTCTTGGCACAGCTACTGGCACTTTGAAATCTGATCTGATAGATTAAGAGCTTAGCCGTTAGAATAAACCATTGTGGAATCATCATGGGTTTGTGTTTTCACTCAGTGACTAAAGTGTTTGAAAGGGAGTACTCATAACCCAAAATGTCACCATGTCTTTGAATACATTAGACCTTAAAAGAAAAGCTAGATAATAAACGCATTACCGAGTGGTTAAATAAATGTGACACAGCGAATGAATCTCTTTTCTCAAAGGTTTTCTTGCAGAACATCATATTGTGTAGAAATCATCCTCGGCCTGACCACCCAGGGGGTCCCTGACACCACAACCTTTACAAAGGGGGATGGGCGTGTGTGTGCGTGTGTTTGTGTTTAGGCAAGTGTCTGCTCACATGCATGAATTTGCTCCTTCATCTTATGTGTGTATTGATCCTCCGGTGACGTCCCACTGCTCTTCTTTTTTTTTTTTCTCTGTTAGTTTGTTTGTTTGTTTCAGATGCGTTTACTATTGTTGTTTTATTCCCGGCAGACTTTAACTGAGAAGCACGCTTACTTCCATTTCCTGCCACGCAGACAACATAACATGTGTTGAGTGCGAATACGCATTCAGCGGAGCACTGGTCAATGTAAATGCAAACACAGACCAACAGACCAAAACAAAAGAGCACAATATGGAACCTTCTC